TAATTTTATCTGTAGATGCATCTCAAGAAAGACTAGGAGCAGTCTTACTGCAGAATAATTTATCAGTAGCATATGCATCTAATTCATTAACAGATACACAGACGAAATGCTTAAAAAATGAAAAGGAACTTTAGCCATTGCATTTGCATGTGCAAAATTTCACCAGTATATATTTGGAAAGTACAAAGTCCGTAATCCGGACTTCCCTTATCCGCACCTCAAACCCCACAAACTTATGCTTGCGCTCAAAAATGCGAGTACATTACGCATGAGTCATTGAAAGAATGTTTAAAGTAAACAATAAATATGTTCTTTTTTTTTTTTTAAAATTTGATTACCCTTTAGATCATAATTGCTCTTTATTTCAAATTAGGCTTCATTTTTTGTAAATTCTGCAATGCCACTTACCAATTTAAATTATGATCTATAATCTGGAAAAATCCTTAATCCGGAATCGCCAAAGTCCCGATGAGTCCTGATTACAGACTTTGTACTGTATTACAGTAGAAAGTGACCAAAACCTGTGGAATCAATTTTCAAAAAGCCATTAAATAAATGCCCAGGAATATTACAAAAAATGTGTATAAGATAACAGCCGTATCAGTTTCAGATAAAGTATAAACCAGGAAAAGAACTTTTTATAGTGGATGCATTACCAAGATCATTTATTGATAAAGGATCTGATTTCTTTGAAGAAACTGGATGGCCAGATGAAAAATGTATGGTTCCAGAACTGGCAAAACCATATTTTAACTTCAGAGAAGAACTATCAGAAGCAAACGGATTAATATTTAAAAATACCTGTGCTGTTATACCAAGAAGTTTACGAACAGATATGTTAAGTAGAATTCATTATGGTGATTTAGGAGTAGTAAAATGCAAGATCAAAGGAAGAGAAATATTATATTGGCCAGGAATGTCAAAAGAAATTGAAGATTTGGTACTCAATTGCCAAACATGTTTAAGTTTACAAAAAGTTTGTTTAAGTTTACAAAAGTCTTTAAGTACTAAATAACCAATGATATAAAGAAATACATAATGGTCCATGAGAAGTATTGGGAACAGACCTCTTTTACTTTCAAGGAAGGGATTATCTAATAGTTATAGATTATTTTAGCAAATTTGTTGAAATTAGACATTTGGAAGATTTGTAAAGTGTAGCAGTGATAAAGCAATTGAAAGTAATTTTTGCAAGACATGGTATTCCGAAAATAGTATATTCGGATAATGGTCCACAATATAGTTAGTTGCAAGAAATTTAAAGAATTTGCAAGAAGATGGAACTTTGAAACCAGAAATTCAAGTTGAAAGACATAGCCAAACTGTCAAGTGAATGCTAGAAAAAGCTGTAATTGACAACAAGGATCCATATTTAGTATTACTACAATATCATAACTCTCTTATTTCAGATGAAATTAAGTCACCTTCAGAATTGATGTTGGGAAGTAAAGTAAATGGACTGATGCCTATAAAAGAGAATTTCATCCAAACTAACGATATGAAGACCATAAACAACATTTACTGAAGAGACAAACTTTACAGAAAAGCTATTATGATACAAATACAAGACCATTAAATCCACTGAAGGTAGAAGATCATGTGTACATAAAAGAAAAAGGAAAAAACTAAATGAAAAAGGAAAATTATAGAAGAAGCAGAAAGACCATGTTCATACAGGATTATAAGAACAGATGGAAGAATTGCAGAAAGGAACAGAGATACATTCTTAAAGGAACTAATCAGAAAGAGTTTGCTATACAAAACAACTATGAAAATGAAAGTCATACGAATGAAGTTATAAATGAACCCGAGATATTTGAGAATAGCAGGATGACTTCAAATTTAGATGTACCTGTAAGTTCTTCAAAACCTAACAGAAGTGTTGTGCCATCAAATACTGAAAGAGATATTGCATCACCAAATTTTTCAAATGGACGTAACTATGTTACTCGATCTCGTAGGACTGTTAAAAAACCTCATTATTTAAAAGAATATGTATAATTTTTATTTTTATTATTATTTCTGTTAAAAAAGGAAGATGTTATATATGTAACTGTATCTATTATTATTATTAATCATAACTGTAATACAGAATAGTACAGTAGCAAACTAGAATAAACGATATTTGTGTACATCCTGCAATCATCACTGAGCACATATCTAACATATAAAAATAATAAAATCTAGTTTAGAGCTGAAAATACTAAAATTTCATCATCTTAAAGTTAACAACAGCAGTCCTCTAGAGAAGCATTTCTCAAATATTTTTCAACTGGGGAGCACCTTTACAAATTAGAACATTCTGCCAACCACATTATTCTGACATTTATGCCTTTTGAAACCCTTCCATTTATCCCCTTTGAAGGAAATTTTTTAATCATATGCTACTACCAGTTCTACTTATATTTAAAAATAACATTAATTAATATTATTTTATATTAAGTACAGAAGAAAATTCATATACATTTTTAATAATTCAAGGCTATTAAGAGCTTGGATAATTTTCAAGTTATTAATTAAAAATTAAATAATATTCATATTAATGCCTGCCAATTCTTGCATAGCTGTTCTATGGTTTGATACAATCTGTTGAGAAGCACCACAGTCATGGTGCTTTAAAACCTTCATTTCTTAGAAAGATTAAAGAGAGAATTCTGTAAGAACAGTAACTGGTAATAAATTTCATAAAATTTCAGTTTTAAAAGAAAAAAAATGATAGACAATTGCAGTTTTTAATTTCCAAACTCGGATTTTCTGCTGTAGAGTAACATGCACAGTTAATTTGAATTCCCCCCTCCTTTTGAGGACCAGAAGGGCAAGCTTCAAGAACAATAGACTGAGAAATGCTGCTCTGGAGGCATTATAAATGAGTGAGTGTTCCGTATGATTATAGACAAGGTAATGCTTAACTGAGAGCTTATTTTCCTTTTCAAAGCTGAGAGGGGGTGGAAGGGCAACTTCTGCATCACACCACACTCAAATTCTTCCAGATGAGATACACACATCAAATTTACAGGGAGTTTCACAGAAAATATCACAAAATGCTTCCAGTCATTATGTCTTTATTCTGGCAAGAAACATGAGTTTTGAATTTGAACAAATTATTGGAAGAAGCAGTTTTTGATCTGCAATGTGCACATTGAAGCAAATGTTGAAGGGCACATGTTGCAAATGTTGAAGGCATTTAATTTAAGGCTGAGAATAAAGGATAAATTGGTAAAAGATTATGATACTTTTGTTAGTGCAGCCAATAGGAATTTTCTAAGCAGCATTGTGCTATGTAATTATAGAACTTTGACTGATTAAGAACTAATAAAAAATGCAAATGTTTTACGGAAGCTTAAAAAAATTAAAAGAGGAAAATTGGGAGACATTGAAACTGCTCTTCTAAAAATGATTTCAAGCAATGAAACAAAATAATGTTCCTATTTCTAGAGCCCTTTTGACCATAAAGGCTGTGGAATTCACTAATACTTGGGGAGAATTTTGTACCAACTGATGGCTAAGATGGAAGGAGAGAATTAACATTGTTCACTGGAAGATGTAAGAGCCAGATAATCATGCAGCTGATAACAAGGTAAAAGACATCTTGCCTGGGTTGCTAAATGAACACAAGCTGTATGAAATTTACCTGAAATACAGACAAAACTGATCTGTTTTACAGAAGATTATCAGAATACACATTAGTGTTTAAAGGGGTATAATAGCAGGTAGTTTTAAGAAACTAAAAAAAGAAAAGAGTTACTGTGATATTAGCCTGCAATATGGATGGACCCATTAAAATTACACCAAATTACTGGGGAAAAAAAAAAACATCGATGTTTGAAAGGAGTCAAACATTTATCTCTAACTTACTACGACAAAAAGAATTCATGGAGAAGTAGTATTTTTAATGATTTTCTTTTGAAATGGCACTGCAAACTGAAGAAATAAAAGACAGCTTTGCTGTTAGACAACTGTGTTGCACGATACTCTGATCTGACTCTAAGAAGTATAAAAATTAGTCTTTCTTACTGCAAATACAGATTCTATTAGCCTTTGACCACATAACTGTTCTAAAAGCTTTCAAATATCATTACAGAAATGTTGCCATCCCCTAAGCACTAAAAAAATGAATCCTGTTAAAATGCAGCACTTTGAAGGAAATATAATTAGTGCATGGGCAATATAATTAGTTCAAATCATATATACAAACTGCTTTCGGAAACATGGTTTTAATTTAAAAGAAGTATCAGAGGTATTGCAAGACAATGTTTTGGGTGCCAATGAAGGAAGATATGAAGATTCATTTTTAGACTACACTGCAACTGACTATAATATTGAGACAACATTAGAAGTCATGAATGCGATATAGAATGTATTAAAACAGCTTCAGAAACTGGCAGTGAAAGTGATACGGAAGGAAGCAATCAAACACCAAAGTCGATCAAATCTATAAAAGCACTCCAGATTCTAAGAAATTTGAATTCTTGAACTGAAAGATGTACAAACTTCAGAATCCAGGTAAAAAACTGTTGATGAACAATACACAACATGGTTAGATTGGTTCCTTGTAATAATTTAATTTCGTAAAGTACATCATTACAATAATACTAAAAAAGGATACTGTATAATTCTATATTAGCATTGATTTTTTTATTATTAATTTAGGCATTAATTATTTTATTAATAGTGACTTGCAACCTTACTAAATAAGTTTAAAGCTGGTATCAAAATTTGCAATAGTCAGATCACCAGCTAATGAAATCAGCTGACAAATTAACTCAAATGTCCTTGGAATAGAAATGATTTTAATAAGCAGCAGTAGCTGTATAACACAACATAAAAACAATACAATTACAGGGCAGTGATTCTTAAATATAACTGTAATGAGTAAGAGAAAGAAATATATTAGATTTAAATCGAATTTGTAACTGTTATGTCACTGTAAAATATTCATAATTAATACCTTTTTAAAAATAATGTTAATTTTATAAAACAGAATGAACAAGAAATTTTACCTTTCTTCTTAGCATTACTACCATCTGCGTTTCTTGGTGGCAGTGGTCTATAGTTAGGTTGTGGTTGGGGAAGAGTAGAAAGGATATCAACTTCATTCAAATGGATAGGCTAGAAAGAGAGAGGAAATCAAATTTTTAACAATATACAGTCTTTAATCCGGACTCATCGAGACTTTTGCGATTCCGGATTATCGGTTTTTCCGCATTATAGATCATCAGTTTAAATCTGGTAAAATGGCATGCAGAAATTATAAAATTAAAAATATGATACTGTAATTTATGAAATAAAGAGCAATTATGATCTAAAGGGTATCAAAATTTACAAAAAAAAAGCTTTATATTTTTTTGTTTACTTTATTAAACATTTCTTTCAACACGTGCATGCGTAAAGCATACATTACGCATAGTCGAAATTAGAAAATTGGAACCAGAAAACTATTTGATGTGTATTCGTGATATTTATAATGACGAGGAGTTTGATTTAAATCATATCAAAGACAGAGTACATTGAGATGAAATACTACATTTAGTAAGGAATTATAAGCCAAATAAAAAAAAAATCTGCCCTGAAGATAAAGATAGTGCTGACACATCAACTTCCAGTTCATTGCGTGTTGCGTCCCCCCCCCCGCAGAGCAGCGTGAAATTGATAAACATATTTTGGAATGATTAGTGAATCAAAGGATATGCCTTTATCCATTTTTTGCAGCAATTCCACTTTTTGTTTGAAACATGCTTTCGCTTTGTAGATCCTTTTATAGCTCCAGAAACGGAAATTCTTTTTGACATAATCGAAAGTTCAAGCTTACTTTTATAAAATTGCTGTAACAGTCTGCAAAAAATAATAAGCCAGATCCAATTAGAAGATTAAGGAACAACGCAATCTGCAACATTAACTGAAATAGATAATTAGATAATTTTAGCCTAGCTTATAACGTCCGTTATACATTAAACGCTACGCATGAGCAGAAACTTTGTAGCTTTGAGGTCCGCATTATAGATCATTCTGGATTAAAGACTTTGTACTGTATTGAGAAGCCCCATTATTAAAACACTGCAGATTTCTGCAGTGAGTGGCAGCACTAATGGACTTTTCCTCATGGGGCATACCAACAGAGTTTCTTGCAGTATGGCCATTGATACTGAAGCCAAATTTACCATCATCTTGAAAGATATAGCTCAACAGTTGGAAGGTAAAACGAACAGCATTCTGCCTCTGAGGACATAACCCTGTTCGGAATTAATGACAAAGGAGTTAATTCATATCACCCACAAATCACAGCTCAAGGTGATATCACATTGGCAACGAGAATCGAATATTTACTACCTGGATCAATAAGTGAAAATACGGCTGTATGGCATAATGGAATCGTGAGCAGTACTAGCAGCCTTGGCACTCGTTAACTTCAGCATTCTGCTTCTGAGGACATAACTCTGAAGAATTAAAAGATGAAGGAGTTAAATCCGTCCTGAACAACATAATGAAGAAAGACAGCTACTCTCTTCCTAGAACTGACGATACTGCACACACTCTGGAAGCAGTGGTTTTTAACACTTTAATCCGCTAAATCCGTTTTGAATGACATCACGAAGAAAGACAGCAGCTACCCTCTTCCTAGAAGTGACAACACTGTATATACGCTGGAAGCAGTGGTTTTCGATGCTTGATTTGAAAAGTCTGTATTGAGAAGTAGAGATACACTCTGAGGAAAGATGGCATTTACTACTGGTCAAATGCTTTGGTAGTTCATAGTGATGCCATTTAGATAGGTGACATTTAGAAGTGACTTACCTCAGACATGCTATACTTGCTGAAGGTGTATGTATGGATCCAGAAAAAATGTCAGCACTTAAAGATTGAAGATGCCCTGAAATGTCGATCAGCTGAGAAATTTCTAGGGTCTTTGCACCTTACTGTAGGAGTTTTGTGAAGGACTTTTCTTCCCTGGTAAGACTCCTTCAGAAACTCAAACAGCAAGAAAAAGTTCTTATGCACAAAATAATGTGAGGATGCATTTAACAAACTGAAGGAGTCTTTAACATTTGTTACAAGCCTAACATATCCTCAGTTCCACAAACCATTTATTCTTGACATGGATGCATTGTTGTTTTGTGCCAAGAAATTAATGGTCAAGAACTCCTGTAGCACACTGCAGCAAGTGTCTATCTAAATCATAAAGAAATTACGGTGTAACCAGAAACAAACAGCACTTGGACCAGAAGTTAACCCTGTTCTTATACACTTATCGCAGTGCTGTCCACTGGACTACTGGCTATTCCCCATCCCAGAGGCTCTTCGGTTGTGACCTTTGTTTGCTTTACGATCTCTTGTTTGGTTGCCATCCAGACCTGCCTTCATTTCCTGAGAAGTAATTTTAAGATCTCCAGGCATGGTTTGAAGCACAATTATACACCAGAGCGAGTCAACATGGCAACAGAGAAGATGAAGACCCAATATAACATGAGAGCTACAGACATTGATTCAAAACATGAGAGCTACAGACATTGATTCAATGAAGGTGACAAGGTGTGGTTATGGAATTCAATTCAATGAAAAGGACTCTCTCCTAAACTACAGTCACACTGGAATGTTTCTTACACAGTTATAAATAGGCTATACAGCATAGTAGTTTGGATCCGTAAGTCATCAAATGATAAGCCTAATGTTGTTCATTACACTAGACTACCCTTTTACTATGGCCATAGTGCATAGTTCCTATAGTGTATATGCTATGGTTTAAAGTAATAAACTGGTTATTATTAATAATAACCACTTTTTTTGGTAAATAAGATAAATAATGCACATTAACCAGTTATTATTAATAATTTCCAATGGATTTTCCATCAGTTCATGCCTAATTAATTAAGCATAATTCATTGAAACTTCAACTCCAATAAAGTTTTTATATGTCTATATGCTATTCAATTAATGATCTTAATTGAATAAATTTCATTTCCCTGCTGACTGCATATCAATGAGGTCAACTTGACACTTTGAATTTAATTCATTGCTTTTAGCTGTTTTAACAAGGCCTTTTCTTGGAAGAATTTGATTCTTTTGACAAGGTCCACAAAAATTCAAATAAATCATTACCTTTTCAATTCTAATATTCTTATTTTTGGCCTTAACTTCTCTCATCATTCTGTTTTGCACTCCATGGCCGATTGCAATATGAATCTCATGAATTATTTGAAAATTATCTTCCATACAAGTGTAATACAAATATAAATAATCGGATCTTTTTCATTTTGCACTTAAACAATGAGTTTCTCAACACTGCCAATTTTAACAATATCATATCTTGATACTCATTGATAGTCTTCTGGTGTTTTGCCTGAAGTCTTTACTTTGCTCTCCTTAACTTTCGCAATAAAGGAATTCTACTATTCTCTAATAAATAACTGATGGTTTTTCCCCCCTTGTTTTGATTTAAGCATGTCCAAAAAATTGTTAAAATATGACTTTGTGAGTTTTAAATCCTCTTCCATAGTGCTTAAATTACAGCAAAATTTGTGAAACTCTTAAAAAAGAACAATGCATATGCCAAAAACTGACAGAGAAACTAACATCAAACTGGCAACTATGTAAAAAGAATCAAACCTGTTAAACAACAAATGAACAATGCACACAAAATGCAAGTGTCTACATACAAATTAAACAAGCAACTAACACTGCCCAGCTGTTTGTGCAGGAAATTACCATTACGCCTGTGCACTGGAAATCTCTAGCCAAATGCGTTGAAAATTATTACATTGGCCAAACTTCAATGGTAATTATTAATATTAACCATTAAATGTGATAAATTCTATTAAATTATTCACTTTAACTGGCTTATTTGGTTATTGTTAATAATTGCCAGTTATTATTAATAATAACCAAATAATCACACTGAGTGTAACATATATAACCTAAATAGCATATTAAGACCACAATCCTATTTGTGTACAAATTTGCAAATTTATGCATTTATTATTTGATTTGTTTTATAATAATAAATGCAATTTTTAAAATAATAAATGCAATACTGCTGAAATTATTGCCTTCTATTGCAGTGATTTTAATTAGTTGTAAGTATAACTTCCTATCCAGGGATTATACTGCACAGTCCTTGGAAAGGGGGAAATGTTATGGATTTTAAATATATATAAATAATTTTCCTGAAATTATACAGAAATTGAAGCATTTTGTTTGTGTAATGCAACATGAAATGCTTGAAAGAGACCACATGATATATTCTGATGATATAAAAATAACATTAAAGGGGGCAAGTCTATTTAACATTAAGTAAATGGCTATCTTGGTCAATTGGCCAGATATCGCCATGTTGGCGATGGTGTTTGACGACTATTTTTCATTGCAAAATTTGGTGAGGAATCGCCAAGTCACCAAACCTGGCAACCACTTAGCGACATTTTATTCCTGTCCCTGTATAACTAATCCTGTAATTTAATAACTGTAATTCATCCCTCTATGTAGCGGTGACTGTATATGGCTCTTAAGTTGTAATATTAACTGTATACGCCTTCCAGCAGTTTTGAGAAATGGAAGGTATTAGAGATTTCCTGGTGGCCAGGGAAAAACTATATAACAACGTAGAGAGCTCTCTGTTCATAATTCACAGCTGAATCAGTAGTATTGAGATATCCATTAGAGCTTTACTTTTTAGATGCACTTTGCATTGCATTATGTTTAATGTTCTTAGTAATTTGAAGTGTAAACTACTGATCAAGCTCTATGATACTGACAAGAAATAGATGAGTATTTTTGTGGAAAACTCCTGAATTGTAAAGTGTTTCTTTTGAGGAAACAAATTTTATCAATAAAACAATTTTTTACAAGAGGTTTTTTTTACAATTTACAATGGCACATAAAAACTGAGGGCAGAATTTAGAAGCCCAGAGTTTGCAAAGGGTGGTGAAAAGCCTAGCACTGGCCCTGTCAGAATCCAAAAATCTAAAAAATACATAGGTTTTATAGATTCTAAAATTTTCTTACAATAATTTGCGATTTAAAATATTTGCTTTAATAATACAGTCAAAAGTCGTTAACTCGGAATGATCTATAATTCGGACCTCAAAACTAAAAACTTTCTGCGCATACGCCGCGTTGACACATGCGCGTAAGACCCTTTACGACTGCGCATATGAGTGTGCGCAGGTGCAGAATACATTTTCGTGCGCGTTTTATGTATAATGGACGTATAAGCTAAAATTATCTAATTATCTATTTCAGTTAATGTTGATGATTGCGTTGTTCCTTAATTTTCGAATTGGATCCAGCTTATTATTTTTTGCAGACTGTAAGAGCAATTTTATAAAAGTAAGCTTAAACTTTCGATTATATCAAATAGAATTTCCGATATATATTTGTTAATATGTAAAGGATCTAAAGTGAAAGTATGTTTTGAAATCCGAAATCTGTTTATCAATTTCACGCTGCTCGGCGGGGGGAACGCGGCGGCGTGTGCGTAATGAATTGAAAGTTCATCTGTCAGCACTATCCTTATCTTCAGCGCAGATGTTTTTATTTTATTTGGCTTATAATTCCTTACCAAATGTAGTATTTCATCTCGATATGCTCCGTCTTTGATATGATTTAAAACAAGTTCCTCATCATTATAATTCGCTACCGATAGCGAAGAAAAGTAACAGAGGTTATTGAAAATGAAAAAATTTCGATTGACAAATTAGTCGGTGTTCTCGACACAGCAATTATAGGACTTGAACAGCGGAACTTTGTAACTGAACAAGAAATTATGTCTGTTTAATAGAATTAAAGAGAAAGTATTATCACATGAACGGAAGCAAAACTTAAACAACTTACATTGAAAGAAATGTTTAATAAAGTAAACAAATAAATATTAAGCTTTTTCTTTTTGAAAATTTTGATACCCTTTAGATCATGATTGTTCTTTATTTCATAAATTACGGTTTCATATTTTTAATTTTAGAATTTCTGCATGCCATCTTACGAGATTTAAACTGATGATCTCTAATCCGGAAAAATCGATAATCCGGAATCGCCGAAGTCCTGACGAGTCCGGATTAACGACTTTTGACTGTATATTAGTAGATTCTGTGATACTTCTGCTTGAGCAATAAAATCAAAATTTCTCATTAAGTATGCAAATTATTTACAAGAAGTATTTTCCCGGTTTTTTGTATTTATGGATTTTAAGCTGAACATAAATTTCATTCAACAGTTAATTAAAAAATTATGTCCTACAAGTAAATTTTCAAAAGTTGTAGAATAGTTGTTCACGCACTGAAAACTTAACTGAATACTATGGCACTGACTGTAGTTGATGTCTACGTATAATGTTGAATGTGCAGTCATCTAGAAATTAAAATATCTTCTAGTACTCTCGAGTACTAATTAAACTCAAACCTTAGTCAAAATAAGTGACAGCCAAAATAACCTGAAAATATAGCAAATAATACAACTTACAAAAGACATGGAAAATAAATCGTTTGCTAATTTAAAAGCTTTCATACATTCCTTTTATTTCAACATAATATAACTAAATGCTGTACTTACGTTCAAAGGAGGCCCTGGTACCAACTTTAGGCATGATTTTTTCTCAGCATCTGGTTTGTAAGTATTTCTTAAGCTGCTGGATGATGATGATGATGATGCTTTTGATGAAGTAGTAGTAGTTTTTGGTTTCTTTGATGAGGAGGATGAAGCTTTTATGGAACTTTTTTTCCTTTTCACAGAAACAATATCATTGAAACCCAGACAATCTTCAAAGCTCACTTCAGATGATGTAAATGCTTCAGTAGACTGTATTTTCAGTTTTCCTTTCAATTTTTTATCCTTTGAATTAATTTTGCTCTGGTGAGACTTTTTGTCCTCTGATTGACCTGTCTCTACTTGTTTCTTGCTGGATGATGCTTTTAACTGCAAATCTGCTGGTCGTGAATTCTTCTGAAAACTATCTTTTCGCGAGCTGAAATGATTATGATGATTATGGGCTTTCTCCTTTCCTTCCTTTTTCTTCTGTGAATCAACCTTTTCTTTTTTCTCTGTTTCATGTTTACTTTGACTAGAATGTGATGTACTAGATGCAAGTGAAGCCTCGTGTTTAATTTTTTTAGCCTTTGGTTCACTTTCTCCACATTTAGATGACTCAACATCAGGAATTTTGCGTTTCTCAGCTTTAATTTCTGAATTACTATGCCCAGAATCAAATGATTTCTCAGTATCATTTTTCATTTTTTTCTTGATTTTCTTACTATTAGGATACAGTTCAGGGTGTTCTGGAGTGTAGTACAAGTTTACTTCAGAATTAGGATCGTAATCAATGCATTTTGATGGTGCCTCATCCTTTTCATACTTATAAGGTACAGGACTAGAATCAGTATAATTCCCATTGATTCCACCGGAATGTTTTTTAATCTTTTTTTCAGGCGAAATTTCTTTTGAATTCTTACTTATAGTAGACTTTTGCTTGTGCTCAGATTCAGAGGAACTCTTTTTGCCATTCATATGTTTTTCGTTTAATGATTTACTGTGTTTTCCGGAAACTTCAGTGGATTTACTTTCCTCAGCGCTTTCCTTCTTATGAGACCCATGTTTGGAGTTCAGTGACTTTGGATGATTTTCTTGAATTTTGGTGTTGCCTGCAACTATTTGTCGCCACTTGGTTAGAACAGCAGAAGCTTTTTCACCAACTAGTCCCGGTTTCTTGGCTAAAGTTCTAATAACTTTACCAATACCAGTTTCCTAGAAAGAAACAAGCTATTACACTATGTTGATGTAAGAAGAACTTAAAATATCATACAAACTTTTAATAATTTTTATGTACCACAGAGAACATTAAGTGTATTTTAACAATTAAAAGGTAATTATGACAAAAACAAAACATTTTTCTTATGTATATTGCAGTTTTAAAAGTGAAGACTTTTTTTTGCCAAAAGATTTTTATTCTTTGCAGTTCTAAGGTATATAAATGCAATCAAAATTTTGCTTAAATAGCAGAGTCGCTAAAAATATTTTTATGTAAATCATATGATCACATGCTATGCATTTGATGATGCATTTTGGAACTGAAATACTCTTTAAACCAGAAAACTTCTTTTTAAACGTAAGCCAAAAAACTCAACTTCTTACAAAATATGCACTAGTGTTTTATCTTCCTATTTTACAAATCAATAAAAAATTTAAAGCAATTAACAGCAAGCGTGATTTTAAATGGTCTCAAAAGATGTAAAAACAATCAGCATAGTTGAAGTTTCCATTAAAGTGTTCTAAGAAGTCATCCTTTCCTTAGATAGCTATTGCATTCTTTCTCATAATCAAATAACCTAACTTGACAGCGAGAAATAGGGTCGAGTTTCTTCTCACGTATGTTGACATCACTACTAATGAAAAATATAAATAGTGGGGGGTGGGGAGGAGATAGAATTCAGAAATATTTTTAAAAAACCTAGTCATTTTTTAATTTTGTCTTTTAGAGCCTGTTATTATGTAGCAAACATAATTTAGACTGCAAAATGTAAAAACTGCCATAACGGAGCATTTTTTTCATGTGATTATTATATAAAAATATTAGATTATGTTATCGATGACAATCCTTAAAATAAAGAACTGTTTGTCCAAGACAGCTTTTCTACTGGAAAAATTCTCCAGCAATGGATCAATACGTTAATATTACTGCAATTAATTCACATATGAAGCTAGTGCATTACCTTTCTAGCACAAAAGATATACTATGCTTCTTCACCATAATGAGACTAGTTCATTCCTTTGGATTTTATTTCAGATGAACAGCATATTCATTTACACTTAAAACTTCGCTTGCATTATACGCTTAATGTCCTGGAGCAGCTTTATTCCCTTCAGTGTAATAATTTACCCTATCATATTTTTAATTTGATCCGATAAGAACTTAAGAAAATGCAGCCTATCACTTCATAGAATTTAATTTTATAGCAGTTATTTTTATTTTGGAACAAGCCTTTCATTTACTTTCCCATCTTTCATCTATGTCTCACTGCCAGAATGAGTTTTCAAGATTTTGTTTTGTGTAAATGAGGTAGAAACCAATATTTAAGCTGAAGTCTGGGTCATTTCATTAGAAAAGCATGTTTTGCCTTCTGGCCGCATTGTTGCTGCTAGTCTAATCTTAACAATATTCGGCTGCATTTGTTACGTGCCTCCTAGAATTTGCCAGTCATCTTAAATACATGCCAACTCTGTTAATTAAGTATGTGCAGCTGCAGCTGCTTTATTTTAGTTTATAATAGATTAATTTCATATTTTCTATCTTGAGTTAAAGCCCAAGTGGAGGCTTATTGTAAGCTTGAGAAGGGGCCATCTGTTCATACATTTTGAGTTAGTATAAAGGGTAATTAACCAATCTTTGGACCTGTTAAGTATCAGAAGTCTGTGAATAGTTGATACACAGTTCTTACACATTCTAGCTTTCAAGGAACGCTAATTTAGTTAGTATATTACATTGGTGCCCGAATAATTATCGAACCATGTCTCTGGAGTCTGAAAGTTAACCTTAGCCAATTCTAGATTGCAATTTCCACTGCATCAAACAACCCGATGGAAGGGTTTGGATTCATAATTGAGACCATGGGGGCTGCGATTGATCACAAGTAGCCACAGGTTCAATGGAAAAGGTTTAAAAAGGTTCCAAAGATTTCTTTGAGCAGTTGGAACTCCACTTCATGTTGCATCATGTTCCGGAACTATAGAAATTCACCATGCCACTGCGAATCTAAAAGGCAAGCACTCAGTTGGTAAAAGGGGATTGGAAAGTTCCTGCTACAGGAACCAGGTTCTGAAGCATACAACTGAGAAACTTTTTAAAATGCTCTGCTCAAAGTGTTGCCAGTAGTAAAAGGATGTGCCAAGCTAGAAGCTGAAATCTTCAGTGAATACCAGACAAAGGTGGAAGAACTGACGAATTTCATTCCATTAATTTAGTCAATGGAAAGAGGACAGCAACAAAATTGTAGAAGTAATTTTACCACCTCTGCTTCCCCTGATACACAACTTTATTGAAGTTAGAAACCTAAACATGCTCAAAAGCTTATTTATACTCGCCGTGAAATTCAAAAGCCAGCAGGCTTCAGAAAATAAGTGTAGAGCAAATTTTGGCCAAAGATCCTCTAGCCCATACTTGAGATTTTTGCCCCAGCAAAGACGACAAAATAGGCAGTATCCCTATCGGCAGTCACAGCCACCCGCAACAGGCAGTGGCAAAAATGCCAGTCAGAGGAGAAATCATTTGGCGATTGCCAAAATAAGCAACAGGAAAAACAAGGGGCAGAAAAGCCTGATTAGTAATTTAAACTAATCAGGATCCCCGAGAAGAGGGTCACCCCATTGAAGAAAAATCCTTCTGTACTTAAATTGAATATCACAATAGTGCAAAATTTGGCTATGCCAGAAACTCAAATTTTATTACATGATATACCAATGAATGAATTATATGACTGCTTTAGAAGAGAAATCATTTGGCGATTGCCAAAATAAGCAACAGGAAAAACAAGGGGCAGAAAAGCCTGATTAGTAATTTAAACTAATCAGGATGCCCAAGAAGAGGGTCACCCCATTGAAGAAAAATCCCTCTGTACTTAAATTGAATATCACAATAGTGCAAAATTTGGCTATGCCAGAAATTCAAATTTTATTACATGATATACCAATGAATGAATTATGACTGCTTTATTGGATACTCGAGCACAGTGCAGTTTCTTGTTGCTAGATTTTTTTAGAAAACATTTTAGCCCGCATTGTATTTTAGAAGTAGTTGCTGCTTAAGATAAGCAGTGCGTATGCTTTGGGAAAGTCGGTCTGCGCATTCAAATTAAGAATGAGCAGCAGTGTGTTACCTTTTTTGTGATCACAGATATAGTAGCATCAGTAATTGTGTGGTGACTTTTTACGCACAAAAGGCGCAAACTTAAATTTTAAGAATTCTGCTTTGCAGGTGCAGATGGAGACTACAAGAGAACCGAGCTCAGTGCTTGAAGCCGAATTTGAACCACTTCTTGGAAGATGAGAAGAGGGAATTACAAGGGGTAAGAAAATTTAATAAATTGATTCTAAATCTGGATTCAGCCAGGTGGTCAGTCATAGGCTACATAACAGTAAACTGCCCCTATAATAACACAGCTGTACCGCTATGATGAAGAAAAGATTATAGGGCAACACATTAAAGATATGTTGAAGAACAAAATCATTATTCCTACAAACAGTTCTTACGCGAATCTGGTAGTCTTACGTTGAAAAAAAAATTATCTTCTACCTTCAGACCCAAAAGCATGGTGATTTGTCAGTGACTACCGTATATTAAACAGTATTAAGAAATATCCAGTATATCCTCTGTCAATTATATATGAAATTATTCGAAAAATTAAGTCTATGAAATACATGACTATACTCAACCTGACGTCAGGTTATTTTCAAACTGGCGTAGAGCCCGAAGATGTTCAAAAGACTGCTTTTATAACGAAATCATATATATGCTTTTCTAAGAATGTTGTTTGGCTTAAATGGAACATTTGAGTGCATGATGGACTAGGGAAAAGTACATTTATATATCTCAATGATATCATTATAATGAGTGAAAATATTGACAAACATGTACAACATTTAGAAGAAGTACTTTCCTTATTGAATAAAGCTTGCTGCAAAGTAAATGTCTAAAAATATAAATTTGCAGCTAAACTGTGATATCATGGATAAAAAGTCTCAAAAAAGGCATCAAAACAGAAAATTCTAAAATTTTAGCAATTAAAAATTAACCCCTCCCAACACGGCCCCAAAAAAGGCATCATTTCTGGGGATGTTCTCCTATTATCATTCATTCATAAAAGACTGCTAAAATAGTTGAACATTTACTGGTTCTGAAAAGAAAAGAAAAAAAAAAAAAAGCAAGAACTTAGAAATCACTGCTGATGTTTCGGACTATGAAGTGGTGCCGTTATCTCTGAAAATGTTCAGCTATTTAAATAAAATGCTGAATGCAACTCAATGGAATTATACCGCAACAGAATGAGAAATTCTTTCTACATAGCATTTCTGATTACAGCTTCTCATCGACGTCTCATTGAGCTGACAAGAGTTTTAAGCTCTTCGTTATTACATGATGCCAGGAAACAATTATAGCCTCAATTAGTTCCCTTTTATTTGATGGGCGCCTTATTCGGACAAGAGTTTTCAATCGGTGCCACAAATTTTCGATAGGATTGAGGTCAGGACTGTTTCCTGGCCATGACAACACTTTAATGCTCTTTGTACAAAAACACTCTTTCGATATTTTGGTCGTGTGGCAAGGAGCAGAATCCTGCTGAAAAATAAACGAAGCATTGTTGGGAAAGAGATCTCTGATGGAAGGTAGAAGTTTTGGTTCTAGAATAGTGTCAATGTATTTTCTGGCATTCAGTGCCCCATCGATGACATGAAGGCAACCAATACCATCTGCCGACATGCATGACCAAATCATAACACTAACTGGGTTCTTCAAAGTTCCTTGAATGCAGTCAGGATGTAGCTCTTCTCCTATTCTACGTCTTACATATTTTCACCCATCACTACCAAATAACGATATCTTAGTTTCATCACTCCATATAACTTGTGACCACTGATCATCTGTCCAATTAATGTGTTCCTTTTTCCACTGTTCCCCTTTTTTTTTTTTTTTTTTTTTTGTTGTTGCTGAAAATTAAGATAAGGCTTTTTTCGTGGAATTCTACCTCTCAGTCCAATATCTGTTAATCTTCTTCTGATTGTTCTTGAACTGACAGATACACCAGCATCATTCAGATCACTTCTGATGGCCGCTGATGATATTTTTCTATCTTGGAGACATAGTCTTTTTATTCTTCTGTTATCAATAGATATGGTGCACCTTTTTCAGCCTTTTCCTTCTTTGTTTTTTATTAAATTTGGCTCCTGATATCGTAAACAAAACGTTCGGACTCCAGATGTAGTCATTGAACCACCCACCTGTCTTGCAATTTCAGCATAGGAAAGACCACTTTCTTGTAACACAATAATATTACATATCTTTCTAGGTGTCCAATCTACTCTTTTATTTGATGTCATTGCTTCTTGACTAAATATTAAAATTTTTTACAGAAATTCCTACTTGTAATTGCAGTGTATAAGAAACAGGTTTTCTTTCTACAGAACAAAGCAAAATACTGAATTGTTTTAAGTGTAAACATAATGTCAGCTTCTACTGGCAGTTAACATTTGATTGGTTCTCAGAAGAAGAACAGTGATTGGCCACGAAAGCTAGACATTACAAACCACTTCATAACTGTGTTTTTTATTTATATTAAAGTACATATAACTTTTTTGTATTGCAAATAATTGAAATTTGTGTTTTGTATTGAATTCAGTAATAAATTCTCTTTAAAATGATATATACAAGTTTGAATTTTGGCGAAACGTAACATTTTCTATAAGCATACAAAGTTTAAAAACATAAAAATTTCCAAAAGTGTCCACAATTTTGGCCGCTACTGTATATATAAAGTGTGGGCTGCACTAAAAGTAATTTCTGATAATGGCAAACAGTTTGTCAGTCAGATCTTTTACAACTTAGGCGCAGGGCTTGGCATATAACATTTAAAGATGGTTCTGTATTGTCCACAGTCGAAAATATTATAATTGCTGGGATGGTTGTGTCAATAAATTAGCTTTTGCACTGAGAACAGCAAATTATGACACTATGGGAAGGCCCGCCATGGAATTTTTTTTAAGGAAGAAAATTTTAACTCCCTTAGACAAATTATTTTTTGTTCAACAAAGAGAGGCAGAGTTCAAAATGAAAGATATAGAAAAATAATTGATGAGGCAATTAAAAGTTCAGACATCACCAGGGGAAAACAAAAAAGTATATTATGATCAAAAGAGAGGGCAGATGGTACACAGTGTAAGTCAAAAAGTACTGAAAGTGAAGTATTCATTTTCTTCCCACTCCTGAGAAAAAGGTGGAAAATTTGAAGGCAAATTTATCATCGAAAGGATAAAACATACACATTCTATCTGAAAGACAAAAATCGACACAGGGCATTGCAAACATTGATCAAATGAAGCCGTACTACAAATGAAGTGATTTTGAAGTGTTAAAAAACCTTTTTCAGGTACCTAAGAGGGAGTCGAGAAATAGCATTACAGAAACTTCAGAATGAGTCAGTCCAGAGAAAAAGAGAGCAGCAACTTCCACCCCAGTGCAAGGAGGCTAACAAGGAGAATGGGCCAGTGCCACCACAGAAAAGAAAGCAGTCACATATGGGCAGTGTAAAGAAAGCAAACTGCATTCCAAGACTGGTCAACGAAGGCCATTCCCAAAGAAGTATGAGGTCCAAACCCCCAAATGAGCTTACCTCGTCACCACAAATAAGGAAGTTCAAAGCTTCAGAGACCATGTTTCCATGAAGTTCCAGAGGGACAGCCACCAGATAGGAGGAGTTCACAGCCTTAGAAAAGGAGGCCAGAGTTTCTATTCCCACAGACTAAAAGGAAAAAGAGTCAAGCAAACTGCAAATTAAAGGAAACTAAGTTCAAAGCCTGTATTCCTTCAATATGAGGGAGGAATTTTTAGCAAAGAGGATGGGTGGACTTCAGAAGGCAAATAATAAGTAAAATTTTGTTCTCTTTATTTGAAAATAAATTTATTTTATATCATATGTAGAGAAATGCAATGCAAAGTTCAATTTTTACCTCAAACGAGATCATTTTTATTAAAAGCAAGAGCTTGAATTTGTTTAGCAAGTGAACAATAATGTAATGGATTCATGGGCCTTAGTCGAAAAGACTTGGAGAATTAAAATTAGAATTGTTGGAAAATTTTTTGTAAATAATGTAAAGCAACTATATACTACCAATGTTAAGTGAATCTGAACTTTGAAAAGTTTTTACTATTTTGTGTGTAAATATGCATTAAATGTTGTAAAGTCATTCTGTTTTAAAAGTAAATGTGTTTCATTTTAAAAGTAAAAATGCTTGAAAGTTTAAACTACTGTGAATGAATTTAAATTATTTACTTGCAAAAGAGTGAAAAATATAAATGAGTTAAGTTAGGCTCTGCAATTTACTTGAACATTTAACACACTTTTGCGGTTAGCACATTAGGCACAGTTTGCTGAACATAAGATGTTATTTGAGGTCTTGGAAGTCAAGTTTGATCCTAGAAGTTGTTCAGGTGGTAGTTTGTTGTGTAATACCCTCACTACAGAAGCACACTCTTAAAATTGACAAAATAAGCTTCTGGAGAGTGTTGGGGAAATGGAATTAAACTTATGAATGAAAATTGGTTGAGAGCCAAATAAATGTTGTGAAAAGTAAATTGTTCCTGAAAATGTGGCCAAAGAATCTCTTTGAATACCTGTACTAATATTGTTCTTAAAGATATACTCGAAGAAGAAAGGAATTGAATTTGAATGTAGGGAAAGGATTTTAAGGTTGAAATTTAAACTGTCAAAAAAGGCGTTTGCATTTCCATTATTTAAATTCTGGTGGGGAGGGGGAACTGTAGGGATTATTTTAATTTGATAATAGTTATTTTTATTTTGGAGCAACCCTTACCTTTACTTTCTCATTTTCTACCTATGTCTCCCTGCTAGAATGAGCTTTCAGGATTTCATTTTATGTAAATGAGGTATAAACCAGTATTAAGATGAAGTTTGGGTCACTTCACTAGATGAGCTTATAAGAGTGTGTTTTGCCTTCCGGCCATGTTGTCACTACTAGTCTAATTCTTACTACTGTTTGGCCATATTGTTACATACAGGCTAGTACATTTGCAGCTTGAAGGACAACTTAGTTTATTTAGCGTTTCTCGTTGCCTGAGCTCTGATGGTCTTAACAATAATTTTAGTTCGTTATCATAAAATCATCAACTACAATTTCAATTAAAATTAATTGTTGAAATGAAGACCATATGAAGTGTGGAGTTATTTACTTATCCTTTGAGTTGAGGATATTCTTTGCATTACTAGATGGCGAAATTTTAACCTTGAGATTGTATTGAAATGATATTAAGCTTGTATTTAAATCAGATCTAGATAAAACTGATATTGATTGTTAATGCAGTTAGAATCCCCAGCATGCATATTTTTTTATCTCAGATTCATGTAATAGTATAAATTCATATAAAATACTGGTAGTTTGATTTTAATATAATAGCTCCTTTTAATAAATATTTAAAAAAGAAACTTTTTAAGTACCTCTAAATGAAAATAAATGATTCTGAGATCTGAAATCCACAACTTTGATTTTAAACTTCTTTTTTCGAAATGCATTTCTGATAAACCTCATCTCAAGGATAAGACTGTGTTCAGATTTAAATATATGAATTGATTTGGGGGTCTGGCAGATGAGGTACAACCACTTTACCGACCCTCCCTTAGTGCATCAAACGTTATTAGAATTGCAATAAATTATCTTTGGTTATGGGTCCTAGTGTTAGACTGTTAGTATAGTATATTTCTATGGAATTTCATAAGATGTGTTCGATGTTACACAAATTGTATTTCTGTCTATGTACTGAGGAGTGGCACAGACACAAATTTGTTAGGATTTTAAAGCTCACATTGAGAGCTTTTAGGTTGCTGTGATTTACTGGAGTTTCAACTAAACAGAGATTTTTCTGAGTTGCTATGAGATCCGCGACACACGTCAGAGATTTCAATGTGTTCTTCGCCGTTCATCAGCCAACTTAATGTTTGAAGGCCAATAAGGAAGTTCGATCGACATGATGTCTCTCCAGTTTCTTGAGTTCTACACTGACAGAATATCAAGTCAATTTACAGTCCACTATTATTGAATGACAGAACAGATCGATTGAGCTCTTAAAAGTGTGACTAAGCAAACATTGCAGTGAAACATGGAAATAAGTAGAGGTTTCTTTATAGTAATGAAAAAACACTGCATTATAGCTGTATACATGGTTTTCTGGATATACACTTTCTTGAATATACCGTATTTGACGGCATATAAGACGCACTTTTTTCCTAAATTTGGTCTCAAAAAGTTACCTGCGTCTTATACGTGAAGGACACAGGTTAGCTTTCAATACTGAATGCTATTTTTAGCCTGGATAAAGATCTAGACACACATAACTTTTCTACAACTGAAATAATTATTTTGCGCATGCGTGAAATATCTGTTGCCAAAAATCGCCAAAGCTCGAAGCTGATGTCGAAGTTCGAACATGTTTGACGGTCACATTACATCTATGGAGCCTTTCCTTCTCTACATAGACTTTCTTTGACTCAGCCGACACACGTATCGGTATGGGTGCTACTCTGTATAAATGAGTTGGTATCGGTGCTTAAAACTGTTTGTTTAAAAAAAATACCCTGGAAAATATGACTACAGGAAACAAAGAGATTAAGCTATACAATTCAGTATAAAGTAGGAGTGTTAAACTACATCAAAGTGCATGGAAACAGAGCAGCAGCAAGGCATTTTGGTAAACCACCTACCAAAAAAATGATACGTACTTGGCGACTGCAGAAACATCAACTGAGGACTGCTAAAAAATAAAAACATAACCGTCGATGCCCAGCTCCATCTTGGCCTGAACTGGAAAATGCCGTAAAAACGTGGGTGGTAGATAAGAGGAAATCTGGGATAAGTGTTTCAACCAAAATGATAATCAATAAGGCCAAAAATTTGCAGAAAAACATGGGAATCAGAACTTTTCAAAGTCTGAGGGCTGGTGCTACAGGTTCATGAAAAGGCAAGGCTTATGAATGAGCACAAAAACAACTATTGTACAGAAAATGCCAGTAGATTATGAAAAAAAAAAAAAAAAAAAAAATACTAGCATTTCATTACAAAACGTGAGAACTAAAAGAAACGACATTCTAAGTTACTGTGGTACCGCGCTTTCGTGCGGACTATTCCAACTTTTCCCCCTTGTGTGTGGCCTTCTAAACAAGGGTGCATCTTATATGCCATCAAATACGGTATATGGATAAATGAGATAAATATATGTATATACACAAGTCCTATATACAAAAATATTTACAAGTTTTTCGATTTCATAGCTTCGTGAAATTTTCAAAGCATGTCACACGTTTTTGATAGAAGCACAAACCAACTTTGCAGGTGTTGAAGCCAAAACTTGTTTTGTGTGGCTTCTGTTCCGTGCAACAATATATTTAGAATTCCAAGTAAAATCTTGAGGCTGGGTAAAGAGGCCTGGGTGAGATGGATCATCAACCTTCTCATCAAATAAATGAGTTTCATCCAACATATCATCATCAGCTTACACAAGTGGTTCAGGAATGTGTATCTCAGTATCGCTGTTATCTTCATGCTCTGATTCAAAATCAGAGTGTAATTTGTGAAGCACTTTTAACACTTCGGAAAGAGTTAGACTTCTGCATGCCATTCATGGAAAATTAATAATAAAAAATTAACTGCAATTAATATCAACAATAAACAAAAATAAGCTATAAGATATACATACACAAAAAATATCTACACAATTATTGTAAATAAACAGGAACGAGTCTAAAAAGCAACAGCAAAAAATTTGCGCAGCTCCCCTAAGTAAAGATGACTCAAACTACTGATAAAATTCCCGCCTGAAAACTGCTCACAAAGATTTCAAGATGCCCATTTAAAGGGTTTTCATAGCACAAACCCACACCTCATTCCTCAAGCCTGCTTTGTCTGAACTCATTCTCCCCAAACAACGGAAATAGAAAACATATACAACAGATGTTTTCTCCTAAGACAGATGTTCTGATGCGTAAATAGCATGAGATTGCTAAAGGGGCAGTGTTCCCGCTATTGGAACACGCCATTTTATTCAATGATTCTGTGCATGCTTTTCGTATGAAAAATGTAAAAAAAATATATAACAAATAATATCGAGCACAGCCATCAAAATTATATGGAAATTTTTTTCATAAAAATTTTTTGTATCACAAAAAAATATAGAAAATTATTTAGAAAAATAAGTGGATTTTAATAACACATCATAAATGAAAATTCTGGTCTCCTTGTGATATGCTGAAATCTATTTAAAAAGAGAAGTTCAAAGTTTATTATAAAGGCATTTTTATCCCTTTACAGTTGAATTTAATGGTTTCAGAAGCGATTAAAGTTGGGTGTTCCATTAGTGGAACACTGAGCAACAAAGGGTTAAGGAAGTGGATTTCGAATAGTTCAGCTATTTTAGAGAATATTCCCAAGTGCTTACGAGAATCCAGTATTTCTTTGGAAATATCCAGTGACAAGAAAGTGAAGGTATTGGGAATTAATTGGAACACCTCTAGTCATACAGTTAATTTTTCAGAATGCATAAGTGATAAAGAGTTTACCAAAAGGACTATTTTATCAGAGGTAGCCAAAATCTTTGAGTTAGTGCCAACAATGATATATGCAAAAATATTATTACAAGAGTTGTGGCATTTACAGCTTGGTTGGGATGAAATCGCTAACAAGAGAATAAGTAGAAAATGGAAGCATTTTTACCTAGAACTGCCCTTACTTTCAAGCTTACAATTTCCAAGGTATGTCTTGAGTCCGAAGGCAGTAGTTATAGAAATTAAATGCTTTCTGCGACACTTCAGAAAAGGCTTATTGTGCAGTCATCTATCTCAGAACAATCAGCCTTGATTTGTCAGTTAAGGTCAGCCTTCTGACATCAAAAACCAGAGTAGCGCCCTTAAAAACCCAGTCTCTTCCAAGATTAGAGTTGTGTGCCGCGTTACTTTTAACCAACCTCTTACATGCATAGAACTGCCCATTAACAATATTTTGCACATGGACCGACTCGCGGTGTTACATTGGCATGGGTTTTCGTCCGAACTTCGTTTTGGCTACCTTTCATGGCAAATCGAGTTGCAAAAGATCCAGGAAAGCTGTTCCAGGTATTCAATGGAATTATGTTGCTGGAAAGAGAATCCTGCAGACTGTGGGACCAGAGGTTTTATTCCATCAGAATTCTACAATGTGAGTTATGGATGAAGGGACCGCAGTGGTTAAACGAATCCCTAATTCATGTACAGCAAAATTCAAGTGTAGAATTAGAAAATGAAGTTATGTTGAAGGAATTGAAAAAGAGTTTCAGTTCAAATGTTTCCAAATTTGAAGAGCCTAGTGTGTTTTCATTCAGATTTTCATCATGGTTAAAGTTTGTTGTGTCGAGTGTTAGCGTGGTGTTTAAGATTCAGAAATAATTGTAGTAAGTTACCTACAGAGCGTATAAAGGGTTATTTATCTACTGAAGAATTCTGTGAAGTTACTTCTATGATTGTTAGGATTGTGCAAAGAGCCGAATTTCCAGAAGAATTATTCTGTTTAGAATCTGGTAAACCCTTGAAGACATCAAGTAAATTACTGTTTTTTTAAGTCCTTTCTTGGATTCCGCGGGAATAACGCATGTAGGCGGAAGGCTCAGAAACTCTACAGTTTCAAATAATCAGAAATATCCTATGATTTTACCTAAGAATCATAATATTACGTGTTTAATTATTAAGCATTATCATGACACGTATCTTCACGCAGGTACCAAACTACTTATTTCTATCATACGACATAGATTTTGGATTGCGAATGCTAGAGACATTATAAGAAAATGTATAAACCAATGCATTATCTGCCGTAGATTTAGAGCGCAAACTGCAACTCAGCTAACGGCAGATTTACCTGCTTCAAGAGTTACTGAAAGTAGAGCTTTTTCTCATGTAGGGATTGATTTAGCAGGACCATTTAATGCTAAATATCGTCCTGGTGGAGGGGGTAAAATCTTTAAGTGTTACCTCATGTCTATTTATTTGTTTTGCTACAAGAGCAATACATTTAGAATTAATTAGAGATCTTTCAACAAAATCGTTCCTTCGGACACTTAAGCGGTTTATAAGTCATAGAGGCAAACCGTGTGAAATTAACAGTGATTGTGCAACGAACATTATAGGAGCTAATAAAGAATTAAGGAAGGCATTTTCTACTGTTCAAAGTGATGAACAGCTACAGGGTTATATTTCATCACAAAATATTAGTTGGTTATTTAATCCACTCTCTGCACCTCATTTTAGAGGGCTTTGAGATGAGGGTATCAAGTCCATGAAACATCACTTAAAAAGATGTTTAGGAACACTTATTTTAACATACGAGGAATTTTTGACATTAATAACCCAAATTGAATCCTGTCTTAATTCTAGGCCTTTGGTACCAGCTTCAAGTGACTGCAACAACCTGGAGGCGATAACACCAGGACACTTTTAACTGGAGCGGCTTTAAGCGCTATTCCAGAACCTAACCAAATTCAAGAAACCATAAGCTGCAGTGATTGTTGGAGGAACGTGCAGAGGTTATTTCAACATTTCTGGAAGATATGGAGTAGTGAGTATTTATCTAGGTTGCAGCAGAGAACCAAGTGATGTAAGTTGCAGCAAGATCTGAAGGTTGGTGATATGGTTCTCATTAAGAAAAAAAGCCTACCTTCGCTATGTTGGAAATTAGGTAGAATTATTAAAGTGTATCCTAGTCTTGATGATAAAGTTTGAGTGGTGAGTTTACGCACTTCCAGTGGTGAAATAAAAAGACCTATAGGAAAGGTATGTACTTTGCCATTTAATTCCTGATTTAGAAACTTTTGTACTTTTCAGGTTTATTCAGTTCAACAAGGTAAATTTATTGTTTGAACCCCCTTGGGACTTCAAGGCTGGGGGTATGTTTCTAGCAGCAAATTGTATTTCTTTCTTTGTAATGAGGAGCAGAGCAGACGCAAATTTGTTAGACACGTTTAGAGCTTTTAGGTTGCTGTGATTTACTGTAGTTTCAACTAGGCAGAGCTTTTTCTGAGTCACTTTGAGATCCGTGACACACGTCAGAGATTTCAATGTGTTCTTTGCCATTCATCAGTCAACTTTATGTTTGAAGACCAATAAAGTAGTTCGGTCGACATGAAATCTCTTCCATTTCCTGAGTTCTACACTGATGGAATATCAAGTCAATTTACAGTCCACTATTATTGAACGACGGAACATACAAGATGATCATAATAATACGTGGCCTGCATACACTCACTAATTTTATAAATTTGCAAGCAAAGTTTATTGGCTGGTCATTTAAATATTATGTCCAATTTGGTACATCCTGGTTATAATGCAGCTTTTGAGGTACCATAATTTCAGATTTGAAATAATGATTTAACCCTTTCGCCGTCCTCTCCTGTCCGTGAAAGTTTCCCCCCAGCGGCCGTCTCTTTTCGTAGCATGTAATGTTGTTTTCTCAGTACATCATAACTTTCCATACGTGACTTTCATAGTGGATTAATGTCAATGAATATCTAGTAAAATTATAAGGAAATAAAGCATAATGGAAAAATAATAATATATCTCTGCTTATTTCTAACAGGATAATTTGATAACATCTGATCCAGGTGGTCCACTTCTCCCATTTTGTTGTTATAATCTTTTACAATTATTGTTTTTTCTACAGTTCTTTTTGGCGTTCTAACATCAATCATCGAGTTATTATGGACTCATCAAACGTATATCCTTCTTGTCTCCAATTCACAACCTCATTTTTTCTCTTTTTCTGCTGAGTAGACATTGAAGCCATCCCTCACTGTCTTGTATCTTATGTAAAATGGATCGAATATTCATAAAACACGAGCCAAATTCAATTAGAAATAGAATGCCTGACTAGTGTTATCCTCTAGAAGGTATCCGAACAAACAAAAATAAAAACTCAAACAAAGTAAACATTTAGAAAGCGTTTTAAACGCAATTTACTGCAATGTAAATGTAGTTTTAACTGTCAAGTAAAAGCTTTGTTCATTAAAGTAATAATAAGTGTTTTAGCTAAAATGGTAGTATTGCCTATTTGAAATAGCCTTTAATATTGTTTTCTTTCCTTTCCCTCCTCCCTTTTCTTGAGGCACTGTAATAATAATAGCGTTTGAATTATTTCTCATAGACGTTTAATGACCGTAATAGCCGCCATATAAGACACACTTTTTTCTTTAAAAATACGTCTGAAAAACAGGGTGCATCTTATATGTCAATACTCAGTTTTGGATTACATTCATTTCTGGAAATTTTCACTATTAGGAGTTATGCGATTTTCTTTTTTTTTCTTGTTTCCTTGTGGTTTACAGTTACATAGAGCTCAATGAATGCGCATGCGCTGTAATCGACGATCACAGCTGGGTTCATTTAAATTTTCCAGTTTTTGTGAACGTCTTTTAAGTGTGTGAAATTTCTACTCTTCAATTTTCTTAATTTTGTTGGCAAG